TTAATTCTTCCTGAGAGAATATCACTGAGTTCCAAAACTGGAGTCCTTTCCTTGTGAGTCACAGACCTGGGAGTCATAGATCTGATGGTGACTCTAGCGCCATGGTGGTCCAGTGGATGCAGCAAGTCTGTGAACGAGTTAAGAACCTTTCCCTCGAAACTGCCACACACCCATTTCGAACTGATGTTAGCTATTACCTCCCGGAGCAGCGGCAACAACAAATCCTAAGAACAGCAATAGTGGACTTTGCCCCCTGAGTGGAAAGTCCAGGACCATCTAGGCAGGGAGACTGGATGCAGTTGCTCACACTGCACCTGACAGCTTGGGCTCTGGGTCTTCGCCTTGGTGGAAGCAACAGCCTTTCCCCTCCCAGGGTCACAATGGCAGTTAGACCCTGTGCCTCCTAATGCCCCTCCCCCCCAGCTACAACCAAGTGCCATCTGCGTGCTGCACCCACTCAGCCTCTCTCGTCTCTCATTGGGCCTGTTAGGTCACATGCCTCTCCTTGGTGAGGAGGTGGTTGGCCCAGACCCCAGGGACTGGGGACAAGCTTACTCCCATGGAAATGCACAGGGGTGGCCAGGTGCATGAACTCCCTGGAGAATAATTGTGCTAAGTGGACTTGAAAGGACACAGTCGGGAGACCGCAAACGGCCCCATTAAAACTCTTCTCCAAATTTCTCCTGCAATGAAGTGGTAATAGCCACTCAGAGGTAGACATTTCTCCTGCACCATGGCGGTCACCGCCACAGCCCTAGAAGAGAGGTGACACAGATGTACACCTCAGCTCTCCCAGGTTAAGTCTGGCCTTATATTAGCTTTGGGTAACAGGGAGTTATTGTCTTGCAGTTTGGGGGCCCAGCACTCTGGAACCGTGGTGTTGATAGAGGCTGCCCTCTATCCTGCCCCTTCCAGCCCTGGTGGCTTCCAGGGGTTCGTGGTGTTCTTGGCTGGAAAGCTCATCACTCCGGTCTCTGCCTGTGTTTTCACGTGACCCTCTCCCAGGCTGTTCCTCTGTTTATAAGGGCGTCCACCATAGTGGATTTGAGTTCATCCTACCAGTCACATCTACAAGGACCTTGTCGGCTCTGTGGGCTGTATTCTGGGGAACTCATGGTTAGGATTTTGACATTTCCTCCTCCTCCTCTCTCTCCTCCTCCTCCCCCTTGCTCCTCCTCCTTCCTCCCTCTCCTCCTCTTCCCATTCCTCCTCCTGCTCTTCCTGCTCCTGTTCCCCCTCCTTGCTGTGGGTGGCAGAGGCCATTCTGTAAGAGCAGCCTTCCTGGGGCCTCCTTAGGTTCTGGCTTATTTTAATCACAGGCTGGATGGTCTGTAGCCTGGTGGCCTGGTGGTTCCATGTTGCTACTGCTTTGGCTCCCCAAAGATTTCAATGGACTCTGTGTGGAGAGGGCTGTGGCCCAGGGCCCAGTGGGAAAAATTAGAATCATGGTCCATGGGCTCAGGAGGGACCTGCCCCAGGCAGGGAATGGGTTAATTCCCACTTACAACACATAGCAGCCCCTTTCCCTCATGACTGATGGCTGGGACACCGGGGACTTGAGAGCCAGCATATAGCGTTGCATTCCACCACTCCGTGTCCCTCTCCAAGTAGCCTCTCCAGGAAGGTCTTAGCTGCAGGCATCAGTGTTCATCCTGTGAAAGTAGGCCATGGGTCTGTTCGCACAGGGCTGGTGGGATAGAGCATGCAGATGTAAGATGCCCCGGCCTGGCTTCAGGATGTCTGCACTTGCTGTTGCTGTTGGAAGCACATCCTGCAGAAGGACAGATCTCTCCACTCCCTCCTTCTCGTCTCACCTGCTGTCATGGAAATGCCAGCTGGTCAAAGTGTCCCTCCTCATTTTGCCAGAGGCCAAGGAGGAGCTCGGATTCCTGGAGTGGACCTCACCACCCACCTACTTACTCAACAGAGGTGCTGGGTAGCAACTCCAAATGCTGTCCCCTGTTAGGACCAGAGGACACAGGGACAGTTTACCCATGTCAGCGTGGTGAATTTGGTAGCTATATAGGTCATTAATGTCATATACTCTTTGGAGAATTTTTTCAGTTGACATTTATTGAGCACCAGCTCTGTGCTGAGCCCTGTTACCCTCTCTTGCCCACTTTCTGACTCCACAAATGGTCTGCCTTCTGCATTTATGTCTGAGATTATATAATGTATGTAATTAATGCTATTGTAATCTTTATATAGATAGGTTCTGCATATGAGAAAAATGCAATATTTGTCTTTCCTATTACTTTTCTTCTCTCCCATCTCCCATCTGTCCCTTTAGGGTCCTTTCTGCTTTAATTGTGTGTGTGTGTGTGTGTGTGTGTGTGTGTGTGTGTGTGTGTGTGTGTGTTTATTTGAAACCCAGATTCTGCATATGAGAGAACACATACCGTAATGGTCTTTCTGAGTGTGGTTTATTTCACTTAACATGATGCTCTTGTCTTAGTTTGGGTTTTTGTTGCTGTGAAGAGACACCGTGACCACTGCAACTCTTATACATGAAAACATTTAATTGAGGGGTGCTGTGGGAGCCCTTCTTGGGTTCTTTGTGG